TTTTGGCAATAAAATGAATTTTTTTTCCTCCCCAACTTTTTATTTTGAAATGCAAACCTATGTCGTGTATGGGCTCGTTGAAGAGCTCGTAAAAAATGGATTCTGACCATACCTACCCTTTATTTTTTTGTGGTTACAACGAAATGAGAAAAAACTCTTTTGAAAAGTTACAAATACCTAACTTAGTGCTATCTACGGGTGAATTAACGTAACAGATGCTGAAATTGGCCTCCACCCTCTACTTGGCACGCTTCTAGGCGATGGTAAAACCCGTCTACGGAATTCTGAATGGCCTCAGCCGGTATGTTATGTGATTCCACTCTAATCCTGNATATTTCATTTTATTGCCAAAAATGCGTACAACGTGAAATCAACTGAAGTATTTCAGCGTTTTTTTTCTAAAATACTGGTTAAAAAGATATTAATTTTATTCCGGACTTTTGCGCACCCCTGTATAACAGGTTCTATTCACAATACCCAGGACTTTCAAAAGTATCCCATTGACGAGTATTTTCTAAATTGAAACCAGATTGAGATCGGCCTTGACGAACGCAAATTTAGAATATCATCCACTCAGAAGCTGATATTTTGAACTCCATAAATCCAGAATCCATTATGGATTATCTTTGCCACTCCAGCTTGCACTCCAGTTTAGTTTGTGAACATATTTATTTATTACTTTTCTTAAGAAATTGAGTAATAAATTCTGGTACCTTTTTTTGAAATAAATATAATGTAAAATTGTCGCGCCCTAATTTTCTATGTGTGTTAATTTATCAAAATAAACTTACTTACAACTACTACTTTGTATTTTAGTTTTCCATAAGGTATTACAAATATTTTGAACGGATCAAATGAACATTTGAATTCAGCAAACAATACATGGTCATTTTGTTTGAGAAATACTGGTACAATATGTGGTCCGTTCATACCAGCTGCCGGAAAAATATATTGAACCCAGCGTTATGAGCGATTTAGAGCGCTAAAAAACAATGATCAGGAGTAGGAGGGGGAGGTGATTCTGTGTGAAGTAGTGATCTTCTCTGGCCACCGAAAAGTATAGGACAGTGATTTATTAACTCAGTATTATTATTAAAATATTTTTCCATTGTTTCCTGAAGCATAAAATAAGTAAAAAATGCTTCAATATTTACATGTAAATGAAGTGGTCTGGAAGACCAAATCGTTTAAAATGCGTATTTGGAGATTAAAATTTGAGAATATATCCCTATTATATTCCCTATCCCCCAGACCCTCCCGGTAGTCCTTCCCTTGCATGGTGCTGGTCCCCTCCACCATGGTCATCCACCGCTTCAAGATGGGGTCAAGCACTGGCCTTATTGAACTGATTTGAGGTGAATCGTCACTTCTAGAAGTCTACTGAAACTTACACTTTTTGGGAAATACCAACACAGGAAAGGTTGCATTACAATAAATACGTTGATATCACTCGGTTTTGAGGAAACCTAACATTTCCTGAAAGGGTAATAACTTTTTTATTGGAAAACTGTTTCCAGGTAATTCCGTCACTCACCTTAGTGTAATACCTAAGTATACAGTGCATTTTTTTGTCCCCCCCCTTTTATTTTTTGAAGGGGTCAACTGGAAAAATAGAAATTTGATATAATGAAATTGATGCATGAATACTTTATTTTGAAGTGAAATTGACAGATGAAACTCTCAAGATGGAGATTGGGCGCCATCTGGAAAAAAAATTCAATGAAAGGGTGTCTTGTGACACATCTTTTTGAAGCTCCTGACAAATGCTTCACAACCCTAGAATATAATGTCAATACTACTACAAAATGGCGGAACATTTAATAATTTCCTGAAGACAAACACATTAATATCGATATTTCTGGAAATATTTCTTTTCATCTGCCATACGGCAATTCCAACAACCCGATAAGGTTTGTTAAGTTATTTTTAGTTTATAAAAACGACAAAAAAAGTTCAGTTAGAATATTCTCATTTAGTTTTCGGTTTTACTAGTGGAAAGGTACCACGTCAACAATCTCTAAAATGGTCAATTCACGTCCATTGGAAGAAAAATTGAAGCGATTTTAATTTACGATGCAACGCGTAACTTTCACGAGACCGAAAGGATTTTCAATGAACGTTTTCCGAATCGTCCTATCTGTAAAAAATATTTGAGGTAACTTGTATCCAAATTCACAACTACCGATAGTGTATATAACAAAAAACCACCAGGTCATCCGTCCATTCCGAAAGAACAGCAAGTGCAAATAATTAGTGAGATGGTAGTAAATCCTGAACAGTCTACTTATTCCGTCGCGAATGTTTGTGAGGGTTCTCCTTCGACTGTACGGAGACTTTTGAAGAGAAATAGGTATCATCCATACAAAATTAAAATGGTTCTCCAAATAACTGAAGATGACCCTGATCGAAGAACAAAATTCTGCGAAATCATGACGGAAACCATTGCAAGGCATTCTACCCATCTCCATATTTGTTTCAGTGACGCATGTACATTTTTCCAAACGGCAATATTCACAGGCAAAATTGCCGTTATTAGAGTGACACCAACCTTCAAGTTTTCCGGGAAACACATACCCAATATCCAGAAAAAATTAACGTTTGGGCAGGAATATTGGGAAAACATATTGTAGGACCTCTATTTATTGATCAAAATTTAACAGGGGAACTGTATTTGAATATGCTGGAAACTACTGTTGACCCTCTCATCACTGAAATCGTCGAAGCGAATCCTAATGAATTCGATATGGATATTATATTCCAACAAGATGCAGCATCACCACATTACAACAGATAAGTAAGAAACTATTTGGATATCACTTTTCCCGGTCGTTGGATTGGCCGTTGAGGTCCTACAAAATGGCCAGCCCGCTTACCAGATTTGACACCATTGGACTTTTTTTATGGAGCTATTTGAAGCAAAAAGTGTACGAAACTGAACCTGCTTCAATGTTAGATATACGGCAGAGAATAATAAATACTTGTAGAGATATTGACGTTACTGTGTTCGAAAATGTTCGGCGTGAAATATCGGATAGGCTGTTCATATGTCAAGAAGTTCAAGGCAACCATTTCGAGCATCTTCTGAACTGACTTCAATCTTATTACCTCATATTATGTATTTAAACATCAATGTATTCAGGTAATTATTTAAAGTTCCGCCATTTTGTAGTAGTTAAAGATATTGACATTATATTCTAGGGTTGTGAAGCATTTGTCAGGAGCTTCAAAAATATATATCACGTGACCTCCCTTTCCATATATTTTTTTTTATAGATGGCGCCCAGTAGCCATCTTGAAAGTTTCATCTGTCCATTTCTCTTCAAAATAAAGTATTCATGCATTAATTTCATTATCCCAAATTTCAATTTTTTGAGATGACCCATTCAAAAAATTAAAGGGGGGGACATTAAAGAACAGCACTGTATGTACAAAAAACCTTATAGCTTGTCAAATCTAGGTTGATACTTGAGAATTCTCTCTCTCACTCTCATAGTCTTCTAACGAACGGACATTTAGTGGGCGGGACCATAACGGAATTCAGAAAGCTCTTCCTACATTTGACAAGCTGTAAGTTGTGTGCAAGTTTTCACTCTTTGTTACGTGTGACTTGCATTTTGTAAATTCACTCGTATTTATAACTTTCCATGATTTTGAATACGAGATAACAAATAATTCTCTATTCAGTACGATATACTACGATCACAAGGCAGTTCCTCTGAAATCATCGTGTCGTTTATGAAGTGTTTTACATAGGACTGTACTCATTTAGGGGTTGATGTTACACCAAATGCTGCGTCATTTCCGACACAATGGCACTCTTGATTGGCTGTAATTTGTGATAACTTCGTGCTCCTTTCAATTTGCACGAATTAGGATCCTAACTAGTCTATTACGCTTGCTTTCTACAAAGATTGGCTATGTATTAAAATAGGCATTCTAACTTGATATATTTTGATGGAATTTCAAACTTGGGTAATTTTTTCATATTTTACATCTGGAGTTTCTTTTAACATCTGCTGGAAAAACAACTACTTTCATATAAACATTGAATTACACGAAAGAAAAAATGCTTTCATATGAACATTTTTCGTTATTGAATTGAATCAGAATGTTTGGAGAACGAACTGAACAGGAAAACGTGTTTTTTGTGTAATTCAATGTAGTTGTAAAGGTTGATTCAATCGGGCTTTTTCATACAGTTTGTGTCTGAAAGTTACTATCTCGCATGATCTACACATTTCTGTATAGGGTTCACTCAAAAGATGAATTCAATATTGTCATTAATGTTTCTGTTATATTTTACGTTTTTATATGTATAACATTTTTATATGTGTTTATATATTTTTAACGGCGAGACTTTGTTAAATCTACCTTGTATGTTTTTTATTTCTTGACTATTTCTTGACTATTCCAATTCAATATTTTGTTTCTTGGAAAATAAATTAAGAAAAACATAAAAAGACTCATTTCTCATTTTTCATGTTCTATTATAAAATTACTTTTGGGAAAGCAAATCTTCTGAAACGACTCATAAAGAAAGGAAGATCCACAAGGGATCTGTTGAAGTAACAGAAAATAGCTGACTATGAATATTGTTAATCATTTATATTCCCAGGGATTGGCGATGTTTTTCATCCCTAAATATAGGAGTGATAAAAAATTACACTTGACGTGGCAAAAATTGCGCAGAATAGATTGAAATTGCGATAGATAACCTATATGAAGAACAAACATATTCTTTTTTATTATAACTTAAACTCTAAAATCTTTAAATCTCATGTTTTCTCATTCAGAAAGCAAAAAGCTGGTGATGATTAAACCAAATCTAAAATTCTGGTTCACATCTCAGATCTTGATAGCCTTATAACTTAAAATGTTCTTAACGAGCAACTGAAAACCCTATAGAGACCCTACTTCAAGACCTTACCATTGGTCGAATTCCACCAGGCATCGTACGCAGGTAGTTAACTGAAATAAAATTTCAGTATTCAAAGAAACCATTTCATCAGTTTATGTTTATTCTCCACTTTTGAATATTTGTATTCTCAATTACACGTATCTATTAATCATTTGAAATTATAATTATGATTATTATAAATGCACTTTGTCAATCAAAGTTAACTAACTATTTATGCACAAGATAAAACTTCAAGGTGAACCGTTTTCTTCTGAATTTTTACTAGGAACAGTTATGTAACCCCCGAAATCTTTATCAGTTTGGCGATCCAAATCTTTGACTGTTTCTGGCAAAATCGACCCAGCAGTCTCAGGCAATAGTAGAATCAGAAGTGCTTCAGCTAGTGCTGCTATGGTCAGTATTATCAATGGAACTGAGGGTCCGATATCTTCAAGAGCTATGACGAGAGGAGCCAACATGGAGCCAATTCTGGAGAACATAATGCAGACGCCAACACCTGCGTTCCTTAGAATGGTGGGATAGAGTTCGCTGGTGAAGAGATAGAGGGCAGGCATTGATATCTGAATAAAAAAGTATCATATCATCCTGCATTGTAGAGAACTTCAATTCTTTATAATGAATCCTGCAGTAAACAATAATGAAGATAGGGTGAAAGATTTTTGGCGCTCTACTTCTTCATCAGTTTTCAAGAAACGATGGTGAGTAGAAAACCGAAACGCTTTTTCACTACCATCAATTTTTCCTAGCAATAATAAGAGTTCATTCTTCTAGAAAATACATTGAATATGAAGGTTTGAAAATAGTACCGCTGTATATATTCGGTAAGATTTCCTCGGTCAGCAATCTAACAATTTGGAGTCCGAGTTGAATCGCGTCTGATGTTTTTAGTCGTTCGACTTTTCGGCTTTGACTTTAAAGCCATTTTTAAGAAGCTATGACTGCACTGATGTCTCAATCTGCCTACTCGATAGGTAGTAGTGAAACGCTGAAAGGGTTTTGTGACGTGACGCTGGTGGACTCAATTTTCCTTCTTGGCTGGATCGTCGCTGGTCTCTGCAAGGGTCTCAATCTGCCTACTCCCAATAATCGACTGTTAGACCCTTACAAAGACCAGCGACGAGATCTGGGGAATAGGTAGATTGAGACTCTGGTGTCAAGTAACAAAATCATGCAGCGTATCACTTCCTGAGGAGTAGGCAGATTAAGACCTCAGTGTAGTCACAGCTTCTTGAAAATGGCTTCAAATTATGAGCCGATTCTGAAAACACTAGACGCGGTTCAACCCGGACTACAGATTGCTGACCCCGGTACTATTTTTAAACCGATGTTTTCTATGTATTTTCTTGGAGGATATAGCTCAAAAATGAAGCAATTGCTTCAAGACACGAAGGTTTTTTCTAAATCATCCAAGGACTATCGTCCTTCAGTATCAGCATTCAATTAGGAACTACCCATACATTGTAAAATCTATATATCTATATTGACCATTAAGCACATCAATTGGTATTGAATTCAGTAAAATAAACTGAAATTGTTCGATACCTACCGACATACCTACGATCCCAACTGCTGCCAGAAAAACCCGTGGCCAATCATGAAGAAACACGTTTTTTGGCATGAATATAATCGCCAAAAAACAAACAGCACAAGTTAAATATGCTGAGCAAATAGTCCATCGTCTCCCAAATGTTCCCACGAGAACAACGCAAAGAACGGTACCAGGTAAGGCGATGAAACCGCTAACACCGACAGTCAAGAATATGTTGCTTCCAACATGTCCCAAGTATTGTGAAAAGGCGTAGAAAGTTATTCCACATATAGTCCTGAAAAATGATATTTTGCAGTAAGAGTTATTGAACGGTTTTTCAGATGAACATTATGACTTACCAGTTCAAATATAACAGAAAACTTCTTTTCTTCAGTTGTCTCGTACTGAACAAAGCAGAGAGACAAGGTGTTTTATTATCAGTAGGATCAACATTGGATAATCCAGTCAGAGCAATTTGAAATGTCTCATCATCAATTTTATTTTCGGTTGCGGCTTTCTTAAGTACTTCAATTGCTTCTTCTTTTCTCCCAAGAACCAACAGCCATCTTGGTGACTCCGGTAAACACCTAGAATAATATGATACAAGTTAGCTGCGTATATTAGATGAGCATGATAATAAATTAATACATGCAAACATCTATTATTGTCTTCACTTACCATGTATAAACTATAAATGCACTGATCAAGAAAGAAAGTGCTAGATGAAATTCTCTCCAATCCCTTAGAAGATAGGCCAGGCCTGACATTATCGAGTTACCAAATCCAAAAGGTATTTGGTACAGAATGGGTACTATGGTTCTCCATCTACCTCCAACGACTTCCATGCACAACACGAAAGATGTAACCATAGTTCCTCCATTGGCGATACCAAGGAAAAATCTGATGAGAACGAAACCCCAGAACCATGGCCAGAACGATGCCACGACGGCCAGCAGTGACTGCATCCAAATACAAATTGTAAGTACCTTTTTTCTACCTTTCTTATCAGCCATGACGCCGAAAACAATGTTCCCTGAAAAACTTACAAACATTTGAAAAAAATTCATTTCTTGACATTGGCATACACATATACACGGACATAGGCATAGATACAGACATAGACACAGACATAGGCATAGACACGGACATAGGCGTATACTCAGACAGAGAAATATAAATAGACGCCGACGCACACATAGACGTAGAGGCAGACGCAGACACAGACGCGGACGCAGGCATAAACATAGCCATAGACATAGGCATAGGCATATGCATAGGCACAGATATAGACACAGGTATAGGCATATGCATAGGAATGGGCATAGGCATAGGCATAGACATAGACATAGACATAGACACAGACACAGACATAGACATAGACATAGACATAGACATAGACATAGACATAGACATAGACATAGACATAGACATAGACATAGACATAGACATAGACATAGACATAGACATAGACATAGACATAGACATAGACATAGACATAGACATAGACATAGACATAAATACAATTTCTGTAGAAGTATGCATGCGATGTTTGAAGCATTGTTACAACAATCAAAAGCAAAAAATAAATACAATAGAAAATCAAAACAATTCCAGTGTCGATAATAGCTATTTTCATTAAAATCTCACCTATTAAAACACCCAACATGAGTGTAACTTGGGTTAAATCTATCAAACGCTCATGTCCACAAATTAAGTCCCATTCTGAAACGATTGTTCTAGAAAACACCGTTTTGTTGTAACTGTATCCAAACTCGCAGGGTATGGTGCCAGTGGGATCGTTTTCCAAATCTATCATTTCGCAATAACCCGAGTTCATACCCTCCTGTGAAAAACAATATCACGTCAGTATTTTGTGCCTGACTTGAAGAATTTTGTTTCATTTTTATCACCTGATATGAAAGGTTGTAGATAAATATGTGCCGATATTTCAGAGTGCATTTCTCAAATTGTTTTAGAAAAATATATCCGCTATCAAATATCCTTATTGTTATAAAAATACCAATATGACTCTTTCTCCATTTTTATACAAAAAGTTGTGAAAAACTTCCAAAGGAAGGGTGAAAGAAATCAGTTCAGAATAAACTCTTCACAGTGACGTGTAGATCATAACACTCAGTTATCAACTGAACTAAAAGGCCGTCCAGAAACCACTACTTCTACGTGAACATTGAATTATACACTTTTTCCTATTCATATTATACTTCAAACATTAGTTATGGAATTGAATCAGATATTACTCATAGGAACGCTACACAATATAATATGTGAGTATTACTGGAGTTTTATCCCAACACCAAACCGTTATTTGTAACACCTCGACAGGTGTTTCGATCACCAAGTGATCATCTTCAAGAGGAAGATTGAACTGATCTTGAAGATGATTGCAACACGTATCGAGGTATTCAAAATAACGGCTTGGTGTTGGGATACCACTCCAGTAATACTCATTACTAGACCAAAGGTTCCAAAAAGTACATATGAAAAATTGTAAAAATAATAATTTCCAAAAGAAACATTTAATTCTCCATATTATTCCTTATGAGGTCCAGGGATATGCAATTAGGTCGACTTTTTTTTTTAATTAAGCAAGATACGAAAAAAATTGAAGAGACAAAAAAGTTGTATTTCTATTATTATTGCTTAATCCAAAGAAATAATAAAAATTGCACAAAAGTCAGTGGCGTACATTTTCAAGTCAAAAATATTCGTTCAAATCCAGTTCGAGACGCCACTGGACTCAATAAATTGAATCACGTTCGGGCTAAATTAGCTCCTTAATGTTATAAATACCGTTGTCAAATTACAACAAAATTAGGTAAAGGATATTTAGGATAATTACGAATACCTTTTTTTTAATTTTAATTTTAACACCCTGTATCTTGAGAACGAAGGATTTGCGGACCCATGTTAATATGAACATTTCGTCTTAAAATTACCAAAAGAATCGTCTATTAAATTTATGGTACATACTTAATTAACACCCTGTATAAGATCGCATGTGGATATTGCAGCACGGTGCAGCCAAGTATAATGGTGGGCAACACTTGGTTGGCGAAAACAGGAAAACAACACAAATAAACGGAGTCAACAACATGAGCCAACCGCGCATTTGTGGTTCCAGTTAGCAGACCTATAATTTCTAAGATACATTACCACGTAGGCAGCTGAAGCTACCTGTGTGAATTCCGGGTTCAGGATATGAATATAAGAAAAGATGTCGAGTGTACATGTTTCATATCAGAAAGAGAAGAATTGACGAAATAACACTCTAAGAAAGAAGGGGAAACCGCGGAGATGTGTTTTTGGCTATTGGCCTCATCAGCTCGATGCAGCCAAGTACAAGGATGGGCAACACTTGGTTGCCGGAAATGAAAAAAAAAAACAAACGAACGGGGTCAGAAAGAGAAAAAGACTACAATGGTTGTTGAAAAAATACAAGTTGAAATTCACTGTTAGTGAGATCATACAGATGAAACGTTGCTGTAATGTATACTGATTAGACTTCTTTATTACATTCATTTTACTTTCAGTCCTGAAAGATAATTGAACGTGATACTATTTTTTGTAAAGTAAAAATAAACGTGGTTGAGACCATTCGTTATTATTATTTATTAGGTTCTGGTGTTCTTCACGTATTCTACTATTTATGAAAATGTTACGAACAGCAAACTCACTAGTTCTTTTCGAAAAAACTTCCGATAGTTTCCAGAGACAGTACCTACCTATATATTTGAAAAAATGAAAAATAAAATTTGAAGTCATGAAAATAAAAGATGACATGTACTCGCAATACATATGTTGTATGATTAATTCAATTCATAATGAACTATAAATATACCTACTGCCTGACAAAAAAAGTAAACACTCATATATATTTTTTTAGAAATTTCAGCTCGTTAACACGCTACATTATATGGTTTTTTCAGTTAGTTACCCAATGAAGCTGCAAGTGTAATAAGTCAGAGACACTGAGCACATTTAAATCAGAAAAACACATATGGGTCAGTCAGTGGGTTGGTTTTCGAAAAGTTAACGACCCTACTAAACGACATCAAGAAACCCCAGAAAAATAATCAACTTCTTATGTTAGGCACTATATGGTCTGAGAACTGTAAATATTTTGCAAATTTATGATTCCTACATAAAGTTCGAAAAATATATTTGTTTAAATCAGACTCACTTTGAAGAATCCCATATGAAGAGTGTTTCTCGTAATTTTGCAAAGAAGTTTCCTCGAGTACCATTATTCCATCGTCATTATTGCGTTGATTACATATTATTTTATATTCGTTCTGTTGTCAATATTAAATTCATTTCCAGAAATTTTCAAATCTATTTTGAAATGCATCAGATGACAAAAACGACATAAGTAATGCTGACAAGTAATTCCTAACCTGATCATTTAATAATGTCACAGTTTTTGTGTTTAGTCTGTTTTTTTACGGTTGCGGATTATTTTGATGAGCTGAATATGATACGAGAGAAAATAAAAGAAAAAATTTGATTTTCAATGATGGTCGTGAATCTGAAGTCTACTTATATACACAGAAAAAAAAAGTAATAGTTATCTTTATTAAATGCATTAATTTGCCTTTCACCAATTTTCTGTTTCATTTGTTTGAAGTCATGTTGTCTATTGATTATTAGGTATCCTGTCTGAATTTCCATTAACTTCCAATTAGTAGAATCTGAAGGAGCTTTCCCCTTGCTTATAGTTTTCAAATAACAACGAAATAAAATTGAAAAATATCTCTTCTACTTCGTTAGCGGGTCTTCTCACTGTCACCCCCTTGGCGGGAGATACCTCATTCGAAACGTTATCGGTTTTCATTTTCAACATTTTCTACTATATTCAATTTGATGCATTTGATATTGGGAAAAACGTTATGAAGAAACTCTGCCATTATTTNGTTCCGAAATACCTATTTTATTTTGATGTTTTGTGATTTGATGATATTAAATATCAAGCTCTTGTTACAGTACTGTATAATTTTGGGTAATTTTCGGTGTTAACAAAAAATAAATATAGCTTTGCACCAAAAACTTTGAAAATTATTTTACTCTTCACAGGATGCTGTCTATTTATCGGTTTGGCAATTTTTTCGTAGGGCCCATTTAAAAAATATTGGTAAAAAATAAAACTCCACTTAGATGGCCATGATTTCAAATCTGGATGTATTTTTCAATGCTAAACAATTAAATAACATTTCCCGAGATTTTTCAAAATAACAGTACTTTACTCATGACTCAAATTCGAATATTTGAAGGCTTATCGTTTATCACGTGTGTTTTACTGTATTTCGTTGGTGCATGTTTAGTTTTAGAGGATGCACAAACTTTCATCAACAATAATATTTTGTCGAAAAACCATTAATGAATAAGTTTCCCATATAGTGCATACTTTGGGGATGATACTGTACATACCCAACAAAGAAAATCAAGAAAATCAAATATATAACAGTGTCCTCTGAAATAAACTGGCAGTTACTGATATTGATTGAAGTGTCGCAGATCCTCTAGATCTACATAGTGATTTCCATGATGTTGTTGTAGCATGTTAACGGTATTGATTGCTTTAGCATCTAATACTGAAGATATTTTCTTCAACCAGTTTGAATTGGTGCGAAATTCGCGAAAAAACGCGAAATTCGATGAAAACCATGTTAATGAAATATCCCAATATTACAACAAATCATATCTTCATAATTCATGCAATTACTGGACGTGATACTACATCCAATTGAAAGAAAAGACAATTTTTTTGAAATTTTCAATAATTATCAACAGTCACGTACATCAGCTGAATGTTTCATGGTTAAAAAACCACTTGAGGAAGTACAATGTATTGTGATGCCTAAGGATGATATTATGTAGCAAAACGGTGGGTGCGTTAATATTACAGTACAGTAATTTAAAAAAACACACCTAATTGTGAATTGGGAATTCACCGAACAGTTTAAGAAAAACGCAACACCTGTTCCGCCATACAATGGCTTCTTCAGGCGCCGTGTTTAACCATGCAATGGACCAAAAAAGCCAATGTATGGCGAAACACGTGTTACGTTTTTGTAACACTGTTTAGTAAAAATCTCATAATAAAGTGTTTATTGATTACGTTATGGATTTTCATCAAGTATCTACCAATTCAATCATAAATAGGTACAGTATATTTGTTTTTCTCAGAACTACTCAAAAACCATTTCGATTTTACTTTTTTTCTAATATATTGTTTTTTCAAGTTATTTGTAAGTAGGAACTTCTTGAAGTACGAACAGAACTATTTATATTGTTGGTGTATTAATTGTGATTCTTCATTGCAATAAATAAAAGTTGTATCATCAGCAAATAGTACTAATTTTCCAGAAATTAGAAAATATTACACCTGATGATTACACACAAATGCTTTTTAATGTCCAACACTGCTTTGAACAAAACCTCGATACCAAAACTTTAGTAACTAGACGAATTAAAAATGTCAACTTTTTTATTATCTTTCTTCGCTTAGAAGTTGATGAAAACCAGTTTTATTCATGTTGACTCGTCACTGAATTATAATTTTTTTTTATTCTGCAGCAATCAGAAAAAAATAATAGAAAGCATCGATACGAGTGTCTGTCTGAGTAGTTGTTTTTTAAACGCCAACTATGTGAAATCGTCCTTGTTTCGACTTCATTGGCTTCACTCATAAGTTAATCACCAGAAGAATGCATTAGTATATGAATTAATTTCACTTGTGTTTACAATTAACATAATTATAAATAGTTTCTATCATGAAGATTGTCTTTGGTTCATTTCACAAACACTATTTGTTTTATTTTTG